TGTTATAAATGTAAAGATTGCTATGTGGAAAATAATTTCAACACCAACGTAGTCATAGCTCTATTTACAATCGTAAATGCAAATATCAGATTAAGATTGTACTCAATGTTAGACATAATGGGAAAAAGTGTATTTTATTATGACACCGATAGTATTGTACCTACTACCTACACACATTGATAACAGTACTGTTAAAAAATGAGTTGTTTATTGGGTGACTAAAAACGAAAGACGAAATTTGAATTTAATCTAGGAGACGAAGAAGAATGTGAATTATTACAAAAAATTATGTGACTATATAAACACATACCAACTCATCAGCAAAATCCATAAATTTAAGTCAAAAGATCCTCGGGCGCAAAGTAAATCCTAAATAAAAAAAGTTTGGCTAGATGCTCCACTTTTCGAATCAAAATTATTTTATTACCCAAATAAACGAAGAACTGCAGATATTTTTGTCATAACAGTAGCTGTATTACAAATTAAGCAATATGCATTGTAGTGATTTTTTGTAAAGTCTGCGTGGTATCTGTTTATCACAGAAGGAATTGCTGGCTTATTATTACCCATATAACGAATCAAATATTAGACATGGTATTTGCATGGCTGTAGCAGATTTATTTATTTGTTAAAATTTTATTTTAAAATTTAACAAGTTACGTCTTGCTGCGATTATTTTAAACAATATTAAATTATAACCTTATCTAGTATAATATATAAGTTGTGAGCCATGTTTATACGTGTATAAAAGTAAGATATGGTGTGTAAAAACTACTAACATGTATTGCATTGTATTGATGCAAGGAGAAGGAATTTATTGCAAACAACACAGAATATGTAAACACGATAAAATTATTTAATTATTTCATGTATCATTGAATGCACTTGCATTATTTGATGACAAGTATTATCCATAGCTAGATGTACACAGAGAGCTAATAATTTATAATGTAAATGGCTTTTATTGGTGCATCGATACGTTTACTGCGCAAGCGCCTTTAGACAATGTTTGCAATAAACAATAAAGCACTTGTCGATATACTTTTCGCAGACTTCATTCTGTTGTTCTTGAAAGGAATAAAATAAAAACATTTTCTCTTTTATAGCTGAACTACCTGAAAACAAATTTAGTATGTCCTAATTAATAGAAAATTTTATAAGCTTTACTAATTTTACTTCACTCGCCTTAAGGGGGTAAGTTTTTGAAAACAAATAAGTATTAAAAATCTGCTTACAATATCTTGAATTACCTAAGAAAGATATTTGCAAAAAATGTTAGGTCTAGTTTTTGTCAGTAGTTTTTTAAATCAAAACTCATAAATGTAACAGAGCGGTTCGTACATTTTTCTAATTTTTACAAGTTTCTCAAAACACATAGTAGTTGTTAAAGATATTACCACTATATGTACATCTCAAAATACTTCATTGAACGACATTAAAACATTTGACATAACTATTGAAAATATTTAGTTCCATCAAATATATTTTGGTGGGAAAACTTTAAACTTTTAAAGAACGCGGAAATGTTTTAAATGTACTATTCCATCTATTTGCTGTGGTAATTATGTCTATTAAGTTTCAACTTATTGAGTGTTAACCGTATAGCTAACAAACAAAATATCTTAAAATACGACGTCTTCATCTGAATAAATACGTCCAATATTCTTACACGTGTGCCTAAATAGGTACAGATATTTCGCTAAAGTCAGATAAAATAGACGAGACATTCTAAGCATCTATTAAAATTGACGTATTTTCCATAAAATTAGTCTGTTAAATTTTCCAATGCTATAAATTAAGAGATCTGAAACTCAGTAAATATCACTGGGATTCCTCTATTTAAAAATTTAACCCTATATTTTGTGGGGGTGCAGTACAACTTATACTTGTCGCATGCTTCCGAAAAATCATTTGTGTGTTAACAACCATTTAAAAGTCAGTAGACAGGGCATGACTTTGATGATTCGAGTTTAACAAATATTTGAACATGCATAGTGTACTTATTTCGATACAATTTAAATTTATTGCTCCTGGCATCAAAAAGTCTATGACCGGAATATTAAACCATGTTACCAACATAATTAGTAGACTGTCGATCCTTAAAATATTAGCAGCTCTCTGCCTTCATGTGAGAAAAAAAAAATTGTGATAAATATTGGGTTGCTTTTGCAGCTACATTGAAGATAAATAGATTATTTTAATAATAATAGTTGATTTTATACATTTCGTTTATTTTAGATTTACTCGTATATAGTTCAGGGACGCCGAACGAAAAATTTTTGATTCGTGCGGGAGACAAATATACATGATATGTAAATATTATCATCTTTTAAATTCTTTGTTCGATTTCATGCATCTGGAAGACGTGGAAACGAGTTTATTTTGAAAAATCCAAAAGTAAACAAAGTCGCTCCAATTTTTTGTATTTGTAACGCGTCAAACTTGTTTGTAAATTTTGATAAAACTTATACTCATTTTTTAAGATTTACACTTCCCGAGCGTAAACTAAGGAAGTGTTGTAATAGAATCCATTGGGCGATTAACTAATTTCATGTTCCATCGACGTTTCATGGCTCCTAGTGTACGAGTCTCTCCTTTCCGACTGTCTCTCTGCCGTGTGCCTTGTGCTTGTGACGCTTATTAGACAGACAATCTCCGAAACTACCAGACCGATTGTTGTCAAATTTTGTATGCTAACCAAAATTTGTCTGATCATCTCCACCGATAATGATATGACGTCATGTTCAACTTTTACAACAGTAAATGTTATTTAAATTTTTTAAAATAGCATACCCCTCCACTTGCAGTTTATGTATCCGTGTTGAATTTTTACCCCAGACATCCAGATTTTTGGAGAAGTTTTAAGTTTATCCAAAGCATGGTAAATCGTTAATCAAAATTTATCTGTTTACCCCCCCCTTAAAAATTGATGACATAATCCTACAATTTTGCCGAATAAATCCTTTCTAAAATGTGCAAAATATTATCAGTTTCATTCTTATACATATATACTCAAAAAAAAATTAATGAATGAGGTAATTTATTGTATTGGTTAAATCAAGAACAGCTCATCCCATTCTCCCGAAAATTTGAGTATACAGCACTGTTATTATTTAATACTGCGTTGCAGCTATTCAAATTGTTATATGTGTTTTTTCTAAAATGTTGAGAACGTCACCACAATATCTTGTTATGGAAAAACTCACTTGAAATGTACGCATAGCATGCTTATTTATACGTATTTTAACAGTCCAAATCCATTTTTTTTATTTTATAGAGGTTATCACAAAAAATAAAATTCGCAAAAGTAAATTTTATAATTCGCCTCCCCAACAACAAAAATAATGTTTTGAAAGATAACTAGCTTCGTCTAAATTCACTGTTTTATGATAATCATGTAGACATTTAGGTTTTAAAAACTGCAGCCTATAGGGAAAAATTAAGAATTCCTTCTTGTAGATCACTACAAAAAAGTTGTTTTAAATAAATAATACCAAGGGAGAATTTTTAATTTTGTTGACATGCAATATCAACATACTTAAAAAGTAATGTGCTCAACAGATTTTTTTTGTAGTTTTTAAATAAAGGATGAGTATGATATAACAAACATGAGTGAAGACATTAAAAATATCTTTCTGTGATGTTACAACTGATATCTGCTCTGATACAAACAAGAATAATTTATATATGTATCACAAACAGTATTCAAGAAAATAAATAAATAAACCATAGAGTTAATCTAATTTATAGTTTTTACACTTACACGGAATTTTATAGAATTATGAAATTTATTTGATAAAACTTTACTCAGTTCTATGTCTTTTTAGAGTTAGCCGTTGATATTACATCGGTAATTAAAAAAAAAACTGGTCTAAGTTTATCTAGAGAGCACTTCTCTGGCTCCTGAAGTGTAACTAGTACATGTAACATATTCAGCTTTTTCGAAAAATTAAAAAATCTGATTTTCCCCTATACATCCAGATTTTTGGAAAAAATGTTGTCTAAACTTATTGTCTATACAGGTGCCCAAAAAAAAAAAATGTGAATAAGCAAATTTATTTTATTGATCAAATTAAGAAGGGCTCACCCCATTTTCCAAAAACTTGGCAACACAATATCTACTGTTAGTATTGATATAACTTACCATTGCTAAAATGTTGATGACGTTCTCACAAAATTTTGTACTGGAAAAATTCACTTGAAACATACGCACAGCATGCTCTTTTGTCTTTATTTTGACAGTACACACATATTTTTATTTTAATTTATCATAAAAAAAAAATCGCAATCAATTTTGATAATTTTTCGAAAAAGCTGGATATTGTGTAGTTCAGAGGCGAGGAAATTTCTTCTAAATACCCTTAGACCCATTATTTGATACTGAATTTGTTCGTCAAGGTATATCTTAGCAATTGTTCAAAATTTCTGGTTTAAGTAATTTTTAACAAAGTGAATATTCTATGTAGGACAATTTTTCGTAAATTTTTCATAAATCGACTTTTGTCATTTAGTTTGGTTGTCAATTAGTATTAATAAATAACTACACTTTGAAACCACATTAATCAAAATTATCGAAAAGAACTAACTTTAACAATTATACTGTTCAGCTTTTCATACATATTTCAAAATTGTTCTGCTTTTAAAAGTGTAGAAACCTTTAGCATTCTTGGTACAAAAAAAAATAATTAACATTTTTCTTCTTTGTCAAATGAAATATAATGCGTGAACAATTTTTAAGTTGTAGATCTAAACAAATGAGTTTTCTTTGTTGTTTTATACTCATATCTGTCAAACATATCTTTCCCACCACCACTTACAGTTGCAGAAATTTTGAAAATATGAAAAAGAAAGAAAAATCTTACTGTGTCCCAGATTCATTGGGCAACTAAACAAAGGAGTTTTCTTTATTGTTTTATACTCATATCTGTCAAACATATCTTTCACCACACATTTACACTTCGAGAAATTTTGAAAATATGAGAAAGAAAGAAAAATCTTACTGTGTTCCAGCTTCCTTGGGCAGCTCCACAGGAATCGGAAAAGTAATCTCTGGATGATTCAAGTAGACGTTTGCTTTGATCACAGTCTTGGAGTTATTGTTCTTGTGGTGCTTCGAGCTCGTATTGTTGATTTCTGGGTTGGAGAGGCGTTTGGCGTCCAACTTCGGGTAGACGGAGGCTATGACCGGCGTGGAGCCCCTCTTGGGGGGGCTGGGGGGCGGCTCGGGCGACGGGTTCGAATAGGTCTGGACGAGAGGAAACGCGGAGCTGTCATTGTTGCAACCGCACTTTGCGTAGAGGCTGCCGCACGTGTGCGATTTTTTGAAGAAGCCGCGCGCTTCGCCGTCCCCGGGGGCGGCTGCGAAGGGTGCGCACTCCGGAAAGGATTCTTTGCGCGCATGGCCAATCATCGCCGAGAGCTCGCTCACCGAGGCGGGATACAATTTTAAACTGTACGATTCTTTCACCAGCAGGTTATTTATTTGCTTCATCGAGGATGCCGTTGGAGGCTGCACTCCGGAATCGACCATTAGGAAAACTTTCAATTTTCGTCACACTGAAAAACAAATAAACACGTGGAAAGTTACGGGGTTCATTTTCTTAAAACGAGCGTGGCAACTAACGTATGAAAGCAGGAATGTGCGCTAAGACTTTGAAGTGCATGCATGAGATTGTGCTTTATGATTACTCCATTGCTAAATGGCGTATTAAAGAAAGCTTTTAAGTGTTTGCTAACTGAAGATGCACTGCGGGGAATTCAAACCATTTTTTGGCATGTGTTTACACAAATTTTTAGAATTTCTTTGAACTTCAATAAATCGAGATATATTAATTGATGTGCTGATAGATATATACCACAATTTGTAACATTCATTTATGAGCCAATAAAAATAATTTAGGTTTTAAACCCAAGTTAGAAATTATCATAATATACAACTAAGAAAACTTGTTGAAAAGTCAACAAAAATTCGAAGATCTCTGCTTCTATTCTTAATGACATGACTTATTAATTTTATTTATACACTCATGTAATTCTATATATGTACAGTATGCATAAATTAAAGACTAAAACAAGTTTTTCCATCCATTAGTACTATGACCATTCTGAATAACACCGTTTAGCAGTGCCACTAATCATTAGCCTTCACGGTTGGACATATGCAATTGCGCCAAACATTCATTCAAAAATTTATTTGTGTAAATTAATTGGTTTTTGATATTCGTCTTTATGCACTTGATTGCTAACCTTAAAAAAACAGAAAAGTAGTTATTTATCCGGAATTTGAGGGGACAGCTTGCACATCACATTAGGTTTTGCACTGCAATAAAATTAATTGGAGAAGATTGCATCCAAGGTCTTCATCCTATAGTTTTTCTTGTTTTTCTGTCCATAACTTTTTTATTAATAATAATAAAATAGATTTATTGACTAACATGACAAAAGTCCCGATAGAGACCAAGGTTTAAAAAAAAAGATAAAGAAAAATAATAATATTAGTGACTTAAATTGTACTTAAATATTTCTAGAGACGCCTTAAATAATTATTATTAAACATAATTGCGAACAATTGAACCTGTTTACAACTGAGGTGTTGCAACCAAGATTTGTTCTTTTTGTCGAGTACAAGATTGTGTTAAGTCCTAGCCTAGCATTTACTAACTCTGAAATTAAAAAAGGATAATAATTCAGAAGTATCAATTTGATTGTTGAACAGTTTATAGGCAAACCTGAGCTCAAATTTTAGCTTGCGTTGTTTAAGAGTGTCGATTTCAGTTACACCTAATCTTTCACTATATATGTAATTAGATTTATTAAAACCCATTTCATAAATTAAATAATACAAAATTATCTGTGAACTCTTTCGAGGCGATAGGAAGGAAAGCATATTATTGTAAGAATGTCATGCTCTAAGATTGGTCTGACCATGGTAATATAAAACTTGCGAATTGGTATGCTTCTGTAAAAACTGACGGTTATCGTCCTTATGAAACCACTAACTCGAAAAGACTTATCGACTACACAGTGTATATATATAGGTTCGAAATGTGTAAAAAAAAAACAGGAATAGCTCAAAATAAGATTTATTGCACTGTTTAAAATGTGGTAGGGATGTCTAGAAAAAAATATTTTAAATTAAATATAAATTGTTACACACGCTACTGGCAGTGTTTCTTGACCTACCATAACTATTATTGAATGAATGACACAGAACTACTAAGATTAAGAACCAAAAAGTGGCGAACTGATAAGCAACGTACAAAAATACGATAAGGGTGTAGTTATGTATCAGTTGATTGCCGTTGTGTGTTCGGTTAACGTCTTTGACAATGGTGATTTTTTCCAGTTCAGAGCGTGTCGACATGGTAATGCTGATGAAAGGACAGGTTGACCGTGATAGGCCCAAGAGAATTCTGCAAGCTGAAGAACAAATTTTGGAACGCGTCGAAGAAGAGCCTGACATCAGCACTCGCCGTTTTGCAGCTGAAGTTGGAGTGTCACAGTTTGTATACTGCATTATACATTAAAAGAATAAGGCCGACATCCATACCACGTTCAAATAGTGCAAGCTTTGGCGTCCGCCAATTTTCCACGTTGTTTATTTTGCATTCTGTTTAGGATTCACCCGCAATGCTATTTTCAACAGCCACAACACTCACATTTGGTTCAATGAAAATCCACACGCTCGTCAAGAAGTGTGATTTCAACTCCGGTTTTCCATACATGTGTGGACCGGTATCGTAAATATCCCCGCAAACATGTTGCGACGTGTTGAAGCCTGTATTGTTAGTCAATTTTCAGCATTTATTGTAAAAGGGTGGTGGCATTCTAAGTTCCTCCTTTTTTTGTTCTATCCGTCAGAATAAAAAATCGATGACCATGAAGCATTACCAAAATTGGCCCTTCTCAGGACCACCATTTGTTTCTACAACTACTAATCTTTACCGTTGGCCTTTAACGATTAATGAAGGTGTGAATGAACGAATGATAATAATCAGCAAAAAGTTGGTTTATTTTTAATTGAAACTGAAATCCTGACATCGTTTTGTAGTCAAATGATAACACGCCTTGTCCTGAAAAACAGTTCTATACCCACGGTTCCCCTTTTTTAACACCGAATTTGCTGGATCAATTCTTGATTTCACCTATGTTATGTGTGTACATAGATTTTCTCTAAAAAAAAACAAAGCAACTAAACAACTAAAACACAGTGCAAAACCATTTTGGAAGGTTAGTACACTTTGTAAGATTACCGTTAACATGCTAACTTTCTAATGAATTCATTTATTTATTCTTTCTAAAAAGTTGATGACAATTATCTGAAAACTTTGTTGAGTAAATTGAAATTTACAGTATAATATATTCCTTTATCTGTGATGATGATACACATATGAGTTATCATTAAAAGTACTATAAAAAGATATAGATCTTTTTTATTTTGACAAACTGATTTAATGTTTACATCACAATTCATTCATCGCAAAAAATATTTAAAAATGTTAAAAAATGTGCTTTTTACGGTCTGGTAATGTAATTTTATTTTTTACTATTTGTTATACAAAATGTTCGGAAAAATTAAAGAATTCGAAAAATTTTGAGAATTAGGTACTATGTATTTTTAATTTTAAAATATAGGCTTTCTGAAGGTATTAAAATTAGCAGAATCTATATAAAGAAACTGGGAAAGAAAGGGAAATTCTGTCTAAATAACTTTAGATATAGGTTTAACATAAATAGTAAAACCAGCCTTCGGAAGTAGGAAAGTATGTATAAGTATAGTGAACCAAGAGCTATAAGGTTATATGGCCATCATAAAAGTAGTTGACCGCAAATAAATACCCCCTTTGTGTGGTTCGCACTAAGCTTACCGGTTGGCAATAAATCATCTTCTAAACATTTCTTGCTCATATTTAACAGGGCCGGCTTTCTAAGCGAGTGGTTATTTCGGAACCCTCAGCGGCTGGAGGTAGTAAAGAAATAGTGGAGCGGTGGATTTTCATATTTAGTGAAAGCCGCCCCTGAACGAAACCACAAGAGCCGGTCGAGCTGCAGTGGACACGTTATTTACGATCCTAAAACCTTTTCTATTGCAAACAACTTAACTTCGACAGAATGGGATGATTTTATGATAGCCATATAACCTTATAACTCTTGGTTCACTATATGTAATGTTGAAAAAGCAAAAACGAAAAATATGGCAAATTAAAGAAATTAAAAAGAAGAAATACGTCAAATACAAAAAACAAAGAAAGAAAGTTAACAACATGGTTAACCAAGCAAAGAAACAAACGTGAGAAGATTCTGTAATTTGAGTGCGGAAGAGTAGTAAAGAATAAGAAAAACGGTTTGCTGCGAAATTTTCGAACAAGAAAGGAGTTATACTATCAAAGATAAAATAGATAAAATAATATATAAATAAAGGAAACAATGCAGCGAGAAAAAATTGGGAAGAAGTTAGAGAAAGTTATAAAAGATTGAGTTTGAAACTTGAACTTGAAAGACGATTTTAGGAATAAAGAAACCACATATTTTAGAAATGTGAAAAAGGTTTTCGACAAAGTGACCAAATAGAACGTTAGAGAAGACACAAGATGAACGCACAAAACGTTGATGGTATCCGTCAGGAGCATAATGTGAAAATAACAGAAATTATGTAATTAGGTCAAATATGAAGTCACAGAGTACAACACAAGAGAAAAGTTAGGACAAGGAGCTATTTTAAACATAATGTTATTCACCACATTAATACGCGATCGCATAGAAATCTAAGAGAACAAACGAAAAACTCCATACAGGTTACATAAGTCTTTAACTACTAGAAACCAGCAAATGTGCCATTTCTGATGATATACATAGTTAAACTGAAAAACACAGAAAACGATCTACGAAATCGAAATCCAGATATAGGAACCGAAATTTTGAAATAATCTGTCATGAATATTAATTACTCCAAGAAATCGAAATTACTGACAATAACAAAAAAAAAACTGAAAAATTAAAATTCCTAGTGACGGAAAAAGAAGAAAAATAACTTCAACATACAGTAGTCATACTAAAAAATAAAAAATGCAAGAATTTGTTACAAATCAACAAATGAAAACCACTAAAACATTGTATAAATTTCGGAAGTAATTGCTTAGATATACAAAAAATAGCGAACTAAAAATATGTGATCATGTTACCTTCCAATATTACAAAATTATTTAAGGTTGTTTAGACAGAACATTCCTCGCCCCTAAAAGACATTCGAACAACTACAACTTGTTCGAAAAATTATAAAATTTAAAAATTCTCAATAGGTAATTGCTTGAACTGTTTATATTTTTACATGAAAGAATTCGACTATTTAGCACTTACAGATAACCAGCAACAGCGGTGGTAGAACTGGTAGATCAAAATATGCATTTGCGTTGAAGGAAAATGAAATTGGATTGATTTTGCTTCCCCAAAACAGAAGAAATGACTAATTAATTAATTAGCTTGCAATGGAGCAAAACCGTCGGAATATTATTTTGAACGATAGCTATTATGATAATTATTATTTTATTATTATTAAATATAGGCGAGCTACACGAGATTCGCTTGCCAAACATCGGTGGATTCATAAACCACAAGTACAGGAGCACATTATTTTATAAAATTTAAATATCCTTTACGGCGCAATACGTTGAGCTGACGTTATAAAATTGTTGGTGGAGATGATTTGGCAATTTTTTTTAGCGTTACATGATATTCCTAATATACATACAAAATTTGACAACAATCGGTCCAGCAGTTTCAGAGAGACAGAGTATGACTACAGAGTGTAATAAAGATCGACACAAACGACAGACAGACAGACAGGCGGGAACGGGAAACCTATTTTTTCGTACTTGAGGATTAGGGGTCATGAAATGTCGAGCAAACGTGAAAGTAGGGAATCGTCTGGTGGACTCTATTACAATACTTCCTTAGCTTACACTCGGGAAGTAAAAAAGACCTGTAACTACGCGAAAATATTTAAACAAGAGTTCATCAATAAATTATTGTGTGCGTAGTACAACCCTAAAAGCATTCATAACGTTACTGTTTTGCTATAGTTTTGCGGAAATCAAAGAAATCAAGACATCGTGCATAAGTAATTAAAAAAGTAACTACTCACCACGGCTAAAGCGTACATTAGAACACTATATGAAATTTTCCGTACTTTTTCCCATAAAAAAAGTTCATAAACGTCATAACTTACACATACTTTATGGTCATTTAGTACGAACTAACAAATAGACGCAAACATAGTAAATTATGACTCCTTTGCCCCGAGGTTGTTTAAAGTAATCTAAAAAGTGTGTTTTCAAGCACTGTAAAGATAGGTACATACGACAATAATAAAACTGTTAACATATCTATTTTTCGCGGTTTTTAATGTCAGACAAAATTTACAAAATGATGTAGTTTGTGCAGAAGTTACCAGAAATATTTATTGTTGATAGATTCAAATAAGTGTTTTGATAGTTTATTTTCACATTGAATAATGAAATTTAGCACTGCAAATAGAAAATAATAGTTGTTATTCCTAAGTTTTTACAGCTTAATTTGATTTATTTGGTAAAATAAAATGTCTTTATTAACTCTACCTTTGAGAACGGTTATCTTTCAGAGTTTTTTGTTGTGTTTATCGAAACCCACGACACACAATTTAATTTCAAACTGTTTGCAACTCTATGGTAGAATTGTAAATTTAGTCATACGTGGTGATAACAGTATCACGCCATAAAGTACTAATTTTTTTTAAGGTAAAAAATGTTTAAAGATGTTTGGATAATGGCAGAATTTATTTTTAGACACTTTTGCTGCATTTTATATTTAATTTATTAATAAAATTTTAAAAGTAATTTAACAAGCAAAACATGGAAATTTGTTGTGTTTTATTTTCGTAATCTACTATATTATTTTAATGCCTTTTAAATCAATTTTGGTTTTTTTTTTTGAAGACTAACAGTGCAGCCCGTTGTCTCCGTAGTTCTTTTCGATCTGATTGCACTGGTCAAAAAGCCAAAAAAACTACATAGAACTATATCCAATAACTAGCCGGACTCAACAAAAATATCATATTTTGAACTGTGAGCATCATTAATCGACATCAAATTTTGCTATTTTTTTAACACTTGTTTAACAAGCTATATATATATTTGTTTAACAATATTCACAACTTAAGACAATGCCATGAAACATCAGTGGATTGAAATGGATATGGATATGTCAAATTAGAATGAGGACATCAGTAACAAATTTCACACAGTATTAAAATGTTAAATAAAATACCAAAATTCGATGTGATATTTAGCTTCCTGATGTAAAATATTCCTTGCTTCCATTAAAAATTAAGCACTAAATTTGTTTTTACTATCGATGTTCTTGATGTGGAAGTTTTAAGATGATATTTATAACATATTTCTTCTTAGAACATAAATATATTTTAATCAAAAAATAAAGTCTCATTAAAAAATAATTCTTCAGTGTTATGGCATACGTACTTAAAAATAGCATGGTTTAAGCACAATTTTATTATGTTTACAAATACTATCGAATTTAAAAAAGCAGAAGCAAATTCTTTTAATATCAGAACGTTTTTCAAGCTAAAATTTTGTAATCCAGTATCGTCAGTATGTTTCAGTACTATTGGTGTACCTTTATTACGTTACTTCTGTATCTTGGGTAATTATATAGCAATAATGAAGTGTAGAGACACAGTAAGAACAAGACGAGTGCTACATAAGTAAATAATAACTAGACGTTCGTATTATCTTTAAAGAAATCCTTACTGCGAAAAAGGGATCAAATTTTAAGCTCAAATAAAATGGTGTATATAATATATATTAACTGGTTTCCTCGTGATAAATATACCCAACAATTTTTGGTTACTTGATAATACGAATATTTGCTTTATTTTAACCTTAGGTTTCATAATATTAACTAAGCGTTCCTTAAATTCTAAACTGGCTTTAATTTATCACCACAATTCATAACAATTTGTTTCTGTGCCAAAACCTCACTTTAAATCTTAAAAAATCTATTGTTTAGAAAATAACTAACATAAGTTTGACTGTTTGACAAATGGCGTGCGGTCATTTGTTTATAACAACTTATATTTATTGGAAACAATCATTCATTAAAGTGAAAAAGCCTTGTCTAGACTTTGCAAAGATTAAGTATGATTTTTTAAACGTTAAAAAAATAATCTCCTGCTACTGGAGCACAAGTGGAATCTAACAAAATGTATCTAGCTAATCCCTGTAGCTTCTGAGCCAAAGTAAACTATCTAATGTTTACTTGTAAATAAAAGATTTGTGTAAAACAAATAAAAGTGTTTCAGTTAAAGATTCGTGTGCGTCATGAACCAGGGGATCTTCCAGTAAGGTCTTCGACGTCGATTTTTATGACTTCAAAGCAAAATTTGGCATAGTCATCATAATTATTATTTATATACGCAATTATGGCGTAATCTGTATGTGTATGTATAGATATACAAAAATAACTTTTTTAACGAGCTGCAAAACTAAATCGTGATTAGAGCTATAATTAGATTTTTACACGTGTAGTGCACAGAAAAAAGAAAAACTATACTTAAAGCCATTTTACGCAAAATTAATTGCCACCAGTCTGTACAAACTACAAAGGACGAATAAGGCGTTTTTGTTGTTTACAATAAACTTGTATGGAATCTTTTTGTTAGAGAAATGTTTGACCTGTCGTTCAGGTAAACCGAAGACTTGTAGGTTATCTGTTTGTGATGCTTAACAATGAATTGTTAAATTTGCATATTGCGCAAATATGATATTTTTAAAACCCAATTTCTCCTTTGTTATTCTATTAGCTGTCTACATGTGTCGGGAAAGCTTGAAAAACACCCAAATCTATGCGACCTTTGAAATGAAAGGAAAAGTTTTGTTATAATGAAAATTAAGTAGGTTCGTCTGTTCGTAGCTGCTGCATATAACAGCTATAGTGTGCGTAATTTAGAGTCATTAGAAAAAGCCAATGTCAAGGATAAAGGAAAATTGTTTTTGAGCATATTCTTGGCAAATAATTTCTGACAAAACACATTTATGTTTATATCCAGTGCGTGTATTGTGAAAATATGATGGACAATTGTTATAATATGTAATTAAATCTTCATAAGTAAGTCTGTGTTGTTAATAAGTGACGTAATATAACGTGTGTACACCACGTTGTAGATCGACGTGTAAATCGTGCATCATAAACAAAAACTATGTGAAAATTTAATTAGACAACAATCGCCAAACTAATTTGAGCTGGCATTTGTCAAATTGCTAAATATCTATACAGCTTCAAGGATAGGTACAGCAAAAGAAGTACTTACGTATGTGCACATTATGGTAACAGACAATTAAAATGACTGCTTATGTGTATTTTTCCAAGATTTAAGAATTTTAAAGCCACTATAACTCATAAAAGCTCAAGAGAAACTTACCTGGCAGCAGGCTGAGACACATTTGTAATGATGTACGGATTTGAGGAAACACAAAAAGTCTATCTCGCAGACACTTGACGAAAATGAACAAAGTATCGTTATTTATAGAGTCATTGAACAAGTTGTCAAGTACTTAAAATAAAAACAGTGAAGTTGCGTTAGGTTGGCTCAGTGTAACAAGCGCTCGTGTAATCTGACAAAGTTGATTTCATCTAATTCACTATTCCCTATCGACCTTGCTCTTCTCATTATAGCGAACATTATCAGATCACTCTAATCTTATCATTGTTTAAAAATAGCACCTAATATGTAGATGAAATGTTTGTGTTTACTTTTTTAATGCTTCCCGTATCTGGATATTGTTTAATCTGGGTGAATCTTAACCACCGCATATTATTTACCATTTTAGTATCACGTGGTTCTTGTATATTTGGTTCATTTCCCAACACCAGATTTTATTAAGTAAGTGTCAATGCGATTTTGTTATCTGATTTTGTTTAACATTATTTTCAGAATTAATAATGTAACATATGCTTCTAATAATAGACGGAAATGAAAATAGCACAATTATACAATAAGTACATTGTACTATTTTTAGGTAATTGTCGTTTTGTCCTCTTTTATAATTATATTTTATAAATTACTGAGTATGTATTTACGTATTTTTTTGCTAACTTAATGAATATCATATATTACTGACAGGTATTTCCACAGAAAAATAATTTGGAAAAACAAAAATAATTAATCGTGATATGAGTCTGATAGAGATTATTAGAAACGTAGGTAGATTGGTAAATATTTATATAAAATAAGGAGCTAAAATGTTTGTTAATTTCATTATTTATGGACAGTAATAGATATCAGTAATAAAAAATATGTTATCTTAATTATTAAATGTACTATCTTATTTCTTTTTACTTACCGAACAATAGCTAAGAGAAGCATCATTTCCGTTAGTGATTTTAGTCAACAGATATAATCTCCGAAATAACAAATCGATTATTTTAAATTAAGATTATGGCGGACAAGTTAATGCTGTTGATGATAATTAAACATCCCGTCTGAACCGTCAATCTTTACAATTATTATCACAAGGTTTACGCAATTTTACTAAGGTATTGTACAGGCTTAGGGACAATAGAATATCAACAGAAATTAATTTATTCGTCCCTTTTAGACAGTCGATGACTTTGTGTCAAAATGTTATTCTTTCTTGAAACATACTCTACTATGGGGTAGGTACTACTCAAAATTCACTAATATACTTTACAATTGATAATTGTTTTGTTAATGTCTTTAATTGTTTAATTGGTCTTCCAAACGATTAAAATTTATTCACTCATTTCCTGTCTAGGTTAATGACTCTAACCCATTTTTTTCATTTCAATATGAGAAAAACCCTACGAGCATCTGATCCCGTTTTTGAGCATGAAGGAAGTAGGTATTGCCTGAACTCTTTTCAGATCAGTTTTTTTACTCTAATCTAAATCCTAACTCTAAACTGACATTTTATCCAAGAAGACATAGCTTCGGTTTTCTGAAACTTAAGAAATTAATATAGTTTTAAAAGACAAGTGATCATATTAAAAAAAGGTAAATCTGCAAAAAAAAGTAAATTCTTATAATGAATTAACATGTCATAACCCAAGATCTAAGAAGAAAATCTAAAAATGTATCCTAAGTTATAAGCTTTAGTTCAATATATTTTAAAATCCTGTCATTTGCTACAGTGATTATAAAAATACCTAAATTTTCTATATTTTTAGCACAACAAATAGGTTCATATTATTTTCATATTCAAAGATTTTTCACACGGAGTCTAGATATTTCAAAAGGAATTTGCTTCTATAATTAAGTATGTAGTGTAGGTACTAAACAAATTTAAAACCAGATGATCATTAGGTAGAGTAAACTTACATAATAAATTTATTCTATGCGATGGAAAATAAAAGGAATTAGGATTGGCTGTGACACCGGTTGTGTAGGTGGTACCTACCATGTGGCACTATTGGATAACTGACACAACACATCATTTTGTCAGCTGACAGATGGCTGACAGCTCTGTCCATGTCCATATTAGGTCTACGACAAAAAGTGATTAGTTAAAAGTGATGTTAATATTGATTTCCATCAAAAATTGAGGACAGTGGTACCTACCACCCACAGCATGATAGACAACGCTAATTCTCATTTATTATTTTCGATCGCATAGTATTTTATATGATAAAATAAAGCACAAAAAAAAAAGAAAACTTTGGTAAAATAACTCAGTAAGTCAGACGCACACAAAATAAGGATAGTTACAGTCACATCGTACGATCAAAAATTATCCTCTGTTGATGCTGAATGAATAGATAGCTAATTCTTTTATCCACGTCGTGCACGGTAGCTTACTCATCGTAACATCAACTAGAGTGCCATTTTTGTTAATATCAGCTATTTTCATTTACCTTAAAGTTGTTGGTACACTGAAGTAGGTAAGAAATAACGTGGGTCCACAATCAAAGGTAAACAATGGACTGCAGTGATTACGGAAAAAACAAATTGCTACTTTATGTTAAGCTATTTCTCAGACGTGTGTTATAATTTTGCAAAAGAAAGAATTATACTATGTTTGTTTGTTTGTAGCTGCTGGAACGTCTTGACAGTTTGTTGTGAAATACTTGTGTTTGTGTTTGTGTTAGTACTAGAGTGTAGATTTATTTTTGCAGTAACGATATATTATGGTTAAATACGAGTATTTGTCTACCATTACATTAAGGTACAAAAATATTTTCTTGAACAAACATTTTAGCGTGTTAAGTAAAATGAGTTTTCGTTTTCCTTTCTCAAGATTATTATAGGTACACCATTATTGAAAAAATGATATAAAATAAAGAAGCTAAGAATTTTTTCATATGGCCACTGCAAACAGTTCTTGTGAATTTGCTGCGGCACTAATTCTTGTTTTAGGGCAGCCTTAACTAGTTAAGTAATAATAACATTATAACGACAAATGCCCGAAATCAAAATCTGCTGTGTTATGTGCTGTTATAACATCAGCACCAACTTAAGTTAGAACATAAGTTATTTTGTAATATTTGGTGCATACTATAAGAAAACAGACCATATTATACCATATACTTGTTCAAATTTAGATCTCTGTAGATCTATCAGCATTCAGTTATGTGGCCTACAATAGAGTATTTTCAATGCTCGTGTGTATTTATAGTTGCCTAGTTAGTTAGATACTTCGGTGAGATTTGAACTGTTCCAGCGAAATCGATTGGGAAAAGCAAAAGAATTGCTACAATGTGGTTTAACTTATACATAGTATAAGATATTATAATTTCTGAGCTTCGAAAACGTGTGGTAGCGCAGTTATTTATAATAATGCACTCGTGATTTTCTCAAGCGTAATGAACTAATGAACCTAAGTGAATAAATATTCTATTATGAATAGCATTCGAAAGTTTTACTAGTCTATGATTCAAACCTCTTTTTCAATTTAAATTTGCTCAAAACATGATCAAAATTAGGTTACACACGAATGCATTACCAAACTATATCAACTGAGACAACAGGCATCATTTGTTGAAAAACTGGCAAAATTTTACGTCGTTAAAACGAGTTTTGTCTGATTTTGTTATGAAACTTTGCTGAAAAAGCAATATTTAGTATGAATCCTAGTTCAACAAGATTTGCTAATATAATAACGAAAACGAAATTGATGATCAAATAGAAGAAAACATTCCAAAAAACACGAGAAAAAGTGGCGAATCAGTTTGGAAATAATTTTCATATTTTTTGGATGAAAAAGGATATAAACTGGTAAAATGAACATTGCCTGCTGAATTAAACATTATTTTAAAAATCTGGGTCATCAATATGAACAAATAAAACAGCTTACGGATTGCAAAGAGGTAGGTACGAGAGTTGTGAAACATAATATATGGATTTTAACAGCAAAAAACAATGTAGGAAATGTACTTTAATAAATGTAATATCCAAGTAAACTCCTTTGCTTACATAATATAAAAAATTGCTCTAAAGAGTTTAGACAGTACTTCCCTCGCTGTCGGAAACTTGACGACTGCATGCCTATTATGTTTTTTTTTCTCATTACATTTTTGTAGTGGGAATTTAAAAAAAAATTGTGATGACGTCATCAACATTTTTGCAAGGACACGTATATCAGTTGGGATAGATGTAGTGTAATACTAAGAATAAAATTATAGTGTTCCCAAATTTTCGGGAAAATGAATTGGGTCGTTTTGAATATTGATTTCTTATAATCAATAAAATAACGAAACAATTTACTCACGTATACGGCGCCGGTGTGTAACATCTAGAGAGCGGATTTCTGTCGGGCTAGGCAAGGCCAAACTCGGTACGGCTCGCACGCGATGCGAATTCATTGCCGTTGCGGACTGCACTTCGTTTATTTGAGATTAGAATAACGTTGTTTCGTTGCACTCTGCTGTTAATTCCCGTTCTCATTTACTTAGCCGTTTGATTAATAAATCGTTAATTATATTTATGGAATCCAGCACGTCCCCCCCTATAATCGTGACGTAGCCCGACAGAAATCCGCTGTCTAGTAATATGAGGGGCAACTGAAAATCGTTTATGTATAAACATTCTTAATTTAAGATGACAAGCGTAACAGCATACGTGAGAGCCAAACAGAGAAACTGTAAACAAAACGACCATCGGTTTTATTGCTTCGACTTCCGCTTATTATATAAAACATTGCGTTTTATTTTAATTCTTGACGGTGAAATTCACAATTGGTTGATTATAAACATGTCTATTTCGCATTCGCGGAACCAAGTGACCGCATAAAACAAATGCAGGTCTGTAATGTTAAAGTCGATGTAAATAAGCGTGCTACTCTTATGTTTCAACCGAGTTTTTCCTTTAACAAATTTTGTGGCTACCAAATTGGGTTGGTTGGGGTGTAATACTAATAATAAGTGTTGCCTTTAATTTAATCAATAAAATAAATTGACTTCATTAATTTTTTTGAACCACCTCTTAAGAAGATCTAAAAAATATGAATGGAATGATAAATCACAAGTACAAACTCATCATATTTTTTGCATTTTAGATAGGATTTATTCAGCAAAATTTAAGGGTGACGTCATCAATTTTTTTAGGAGGGATGAACAAATACATTTTGAACAAAAGTTTACCATGCT